CGGCTTTTTTCTTTTTGCTTATGTGGTGCTGAGGAATCAAACCCAGGGCCTCAGGCATGCAAGGCAAGCGCTCTACCACTGAGCCACCTTCCCAGCCCATGCAATATAATTGTGAGTGGGCTCCTCAGGAATAATCTTTCCATAAAGATACTAGTGATTACACCCACCCAGGGCGTCATTCTTGCTAGACAAGCACTTTACAACTTGATTGATCAGTCCAGGGGTTTGAACTCAGGGCCTGGGCTCTGTCCCTGAATCTCTGTGCTCAAGGCTACCACTCTACCACTGAGCCACAGCACCACTTCCAGCTTTTTCTGTTTATCTGGTACTAAGGAATCAAACCCAGGGCTTCATGCATGCTAGGCAAGTACTCTGCCCTTGTTTTGTTTTTGGAATAGGATCCCCTCACTTGCCTACGCTGACCTCAGTGTCACAGTCTTTTTCCCTCTGCCTCTTAAATAGCTGGAATTACATTTGTGTGCCATTATTCCTGGTTAAAAAAAACATAGATATTAAAAATCTGTGTTCAGTTGCTTTATTTTGTATATAGTCTTTTATGTTTGTTTTCCCTTATCATTATACCTGAGTGTTTATCTGTATTGTGTTGTTTTTTTGTTTTTTTAATCCCCCCCCCCCAGTGGCTTTTATTCATTTTATTTTGGAGCATATCTTACTAATGAACTTTTATAGAAACTGAAAGGATCCTTCAGGATCCTCCTAGGGGACCACACAAAGGCCAGCAGGCAGGCACAGGGGAAACATTATTGTAAGGTTTATTAGAGGGGCCTCATCTCCCCGGGAGAGGGAGCACATTGTGTCTGCCCCCATCCAAGTCATGGGTCGGTCTGGGGGAAGTGAGGTCAGGGGGAAGTGAGGGCAGAAGTGGGTTAAATGTGTGTGTGGATGGGTCTGGGTAGAGAGGGAGTGGCCATCTGTAGGGTGGGAACTCCAGGGCAGTGGGGAGCTCACCTTTGGGTGGGGCTGAAGACTAAAGGTGGGGATAAAACTAACAGAAACTTTTATTAGAAATTATAAAAAGTTGCCAGCCAGTGGCTCACGCCTGTAATCCTAGCTACTCAGGAATCTGAGCTCTGAGGATTGGGGTTCAAAGCCTGCCCAGGCAGGAAAGTTCCTGAGACTGTTTTCTACAATAAACCACCATAACACCGAAAGTGATGCTGTGGCTCAAGTGGTAGAGCACTAGCCTTGAGCTGAAGAGCTGAGGGACAGCGCCCAGGCCCAGAGTTCAAGTCCCATGAGTGAAGAAAAACAAAAAAAGAAATTATAAATAGTTAAATTCACAGTTATATCATCTTATAATATAAAAAGAGAATTTAGTTTTAGTGTCTAAGTCTGTTGATATGTGTTTGCTGGAACTACATTTTTAAAATTGTATTTTGGTAAATTGTGTGGCATTGATGTATACATAGTCTAGAATATAGTGTATACTATAGGGTCTGCAACTTAGTATCACCATAATTGTATCATTTTTCTCAAAAGTTTAAAATGAATAGTAAAAAATAAAACTTACTGTTGCTCTGTTACCTGTTTTTAAAGGAAATGGTAAGAGAAAACGTTCTGGAGAAGACTCTAAATGCTACCAGTGAGAAACTTAACTCAATTTATTTTCATACTACAAATGCTGAAAAAAGTGATTGTGACCAGACTGATTTCATAAAAGATGGGGAAGAGTCTCCTCATCAAAATAAGCATTTGCTATCTGATTTAGAAAGTGTTCTGCACAAGGATAGATGTTCAGATACTGAGACTCCTACAATTTCAATTAAGAAAGATATGGGCACTGAATCTTCAATGCCCACTAATGACGGCGGAATCAACTCCACTAATAATCTTTGGTCATCAAATAGTGGAAGGATAACCTGTGAATATCATGAGTCAGTTGAAAAGAGTAAGTGAATTATTTGCTCTTCTTAGATAAAAATAAAGAAATATAAAACATGGTTACACATTTTGAATAGGTTGTTTCCACATGGAGCTTGTCATTATTTCATATAAATACTTAAATGTTTTATGGGTTTTAAAGATTTTTTTAGTTATATACTGTTAATACAGGATTTTTGCTCAGAAATAGTACCTTTAAGCAAGTAAGTGTATCATTTGTGTTTTTTTTGGCAATACTGGAGATTGAATTGAGGGCCTCACATGTGGTAGGTAGGCACTCTACCACTTAAGCCACCCCTCCAGCATAGTATTTTTGTTTTTTTGTGTTCTTTTCTGTTATTTCTCATTTTCTACTACAAACTTTTGTAAGTAAGCCTGGCTTGTTTTAGTCACAGAAGTACTTTTTTGCAGGGAGAGATGGATTTTTCTTTTTCTGTGTGTGTGTGTGTGTGTGTGTGTGTCTTTTTCTGTGTGTGTGTGTTAGTACTATGGCTTGAAGTTGGGGTCTGGATACTGTCCCTTAGGTTTCTTGCTCAAGACTAGAACCCTGTATCTTGAGCCACAACTCTACTTCTGGCTTCTTTGTAGTTAATTTGAGGTAAGAGTCTCATGAACTTTTCTACCTGGACTGGCTTTGAGCCATGGTCCTCAGATGTCAGTCTCCTGAGTAGCTAGGATTATAGGCATGAGCCACCAGCACCTACCTGTATTTCCCTTTTTCTGTCTAGTTTTGGAGAGTCTTACGTACTATTGATAGCCAAAGTAGTTACAAAAAATTTATTTGGAGATGTATAACTTTAATTACTACATATGTCATTGGATGTTTTTGGAATTTAATTTTTAGAAAGAGATCTTTCAGAAAATGTGGTCTATCAAAATGAAGAGGGCAAATGGGTCACTGACCTTGCCTATTATACATCTTTTGATAACAAACAAGATTTACAGATGTCTCCAAATGATGGGATAAATGAAGATTTCAGATCTGGTTGTAAGTATTTAGATAATCATGGTTTTATTGTTGTTGTTTTTGTTTTTTTTGTTTTGTTTTTGGTGCCACTATCAGGGTTTGAATTCAGAGCCTCATGCAGTAGCTCAGCTTTTTCCCTTATGTCTGGCATGATTTTATTTTTCTGTTACTTTTCTTCCATCATTTCTACCACTCTTCTTCACTTTTGCTCTAGAATGGACTTTGGTAACTGCACAGTTCATTATGCTCAGGAGAGAATTTTAAAATAGAACAAGGAAAGCTTTTAAAGCCCTTTACAATCTTGCAAGAACATGGGTCTTAAAAGGAATCAAAGGAATGCTGTTGTGACTTACTGTCTTTGCCTAAGGAAACAATTATAACTGACAGACCCAAGCCTATTTTTCCTATATAAAATAGTGAATAGCTTTCAGAATATGATTATATTCCAGAAAGAAAATTTAATGTGGCTGAACAAAACAAACAATATCACAATCTCAGAAAGAAAGCAATCTCAGAATATCATCACAAACAAATTAGTACAATCCAAGTGGTTATCTTGCTGGGTGCCAGTCTTCTAGAAACTAAGGATTGTGGTTTAAAGCTAGCCTGGGTAGAAAAGTCCATGAGATTTTATGTCCAAAATAACTTGTGTGAAGTAATAGGGCTAGAGGTGTGGCTCAAATGACAGAATACCATCTAAGCAGTAAACAAACAAATAATATCTTTACCATTGTATTAATTGAAGAAAAACTAAAAGCATTTCTCCTAAATTTAGGAGCAAGGGTGTCTCCTTTTCTTCTTTTTCATTCAATATAAAGTGCTTGAAATTTTAGCCAGACCAAGAAGGCAAGAAATTAAAGGAATACAAATAGGAAAGGAAGATATCACATTATCCCTGCTTATAAATGACAGAATCATTTATAAGACCCCAAATACTTGACCAGAAAACTCTTAATGTAATAAAATGCATTGCACAAAGAAGCAGAATACAAAATTAATATATGTATATATTATATTTCTATATATATATATTTCTATATACCAATGACGAACATGCTGAAAAATGAGAAATGCAGATCCATTCATAATATCCTCAAAAGAAATTAAGTACTTAGGAATAAATAAGCCTGACCTGGGAGGTGAAAGATCTTTACAATGAAAGCTATAAAATACTGAACTAAAAAAATAAGAAGGAGCCAGACACTGGTTGCTCATACCTGTAATTCTAGCTATGAGGCCTGAAGATTGTGGTTCAAAGCCAGACCAGGCAGGAAAGTCCAATAAACTACTCAGGAAAAGCCAGAAGTGGTGCTGTGGCTCACCTGGTAGAGCTCTAGCCTTGATCAAAAGAAGCTCAAGCACAGTGCCCAAGCCTAGAGTTCAAGCCCAAGACCAGCAAAAAAAAAAAAAGAAAAAGAAATTAAGATATTAGAAGATGGAAAGACATCCCAGGGATGTTCATCAATCAGCTGAATTTAATATTGTGAGAATGAGTATATTACCAAAAATGAACTGTAGATTCAATGTAATCCCCATCAAAATTCTAGTGACATTATTCACAGAAATAGAAGAACATCCTAAAGTTTACATGGAAGCACAAAAATCCCAAATAACCAAAGAAATCCTGACTAAAAAGAGCAATGTTGGAGGTATCACAGTTCTTGACTACAGAGCTATATTAAAAACTGCATAGTATTCACACCAAAACAGATGCTTAGATCAATGCAATAGAAGAGAAGACCCAGAGAAAAGCCCATGCAGCCCATCTGATTTTCAGCAAGTCTCTAAAGCATACATTGGAGTAAAGGCTGCTTCTTAAACAAATGGTATTGGGAAAACTGGATATCCATATGAAGAAGACTGAAACTAAATGTCTCTATTTCACACTGTTCAATAAGAAATTTAAAACATAAAATTTAACTACTTTGATAGTTCATTGGAGATAAGAATCTCATGGACTTTATTACTGCCCAGGGGCTGGCTTCAAATTGTGATTTTCCCATCTCAGTCTCCTGAGTAGCTAGGATTACAGCTGTGAATTACTGGTTCCCAGCTGATTAATCTTTTACAAATAAAAAACTTAGTTGTAAAGCCTTTTGGCAAATCGTGGCTTATTGTCAAGTGATGTAATCAATCATAGTAGCATGTTCATTAGCAAAAATTTGACAATCATAATCACGAAAACATTCTTTTTGTATTTTTTTTAGGTAAAGCCTTTTAATTTTTTTTTTTCAGTCGGTCGTGGGGCTTGAACTCTGGGACTGAGTGCTGTCCCTCAGCTCTTCAGTCAAGGCCAGTGCTCTACTACTTGAGCTACAGAGCCACTTCCGGTTTTCTGGTGGTTTATTGGAGATAAGAGTTTATGGACTTTTCTTGCTGGGCTGGCTTTGAACCTTGATCCTCAGATCTCAGCCTCTTGAGTAGCTAGGATTATAGGCATGAGCCACCTGCGCCTGACTAAGCCTTTTAATTTTAATTTTATTTGTTTATTTATTTTTTGTTGGTTGTGGGTCTTGAACTCTGAGTCTGGATGCTGCCCTCAACTCTTCAGCTCAAAGCAAGTGCTCTCCCACATGAGCCACAGCACCACTTCTGGTTTTCTGGTGGTTAATTGGAGATAAGAATCTCACAGACTTTCCTGCCCGGGCAGGCTTTGAACCGAGATCCTCAGATCTCAGCCTTCTGAGTAGCTAGGATTACAGGCATGAGCCACTGATGTCTGGCTGTTTTTTTTTTTTGGGGGGGGGGGTCCGGTCATGGGGCCTGAACTCTGGGCCTGGGCGCTGTCCCTCAGCTCTTCAGCTCAAAGCCAGCGCTCTACCACTGAGCCACCTTCCCAGCCCCTGATGTCTGGCTTTTATTTTAATATTTTCTTCAGTTATTCAAATTAATTGCTATTCAACAAAGCGGTTTACGAATACTGTGCATCTTGATTACTTGTTACCCCTTTTATTATTCTCCCCTTCCTAACCCAATCCCTTCCCTCAGTTTTCTTCATTTTGCAGGATATGCGTTGCCTGTTATGATTGTATTCTCTTCCCTTCCTCTCTTTACTTGATAGAAATTTCTGCAGATACATAAGCCATGTGAATCCAAGTTTCACATACTTTGAAAAAACTGCTTTCCATGATATTTTGTTTTCCTAACTTGTATATACGTGTTTGTTTAATGTGATATGTAAATTTAAATTCTTATTTCTTTTAAGCTGAAGCATTGGATTTGATTGCACGAGATGAAGAAGAATTTAATAAAGAGCATCAGTTTGTACAGGTTTGTAACATTTACTCTAAAGCTCAAAAGTTTTTGTTTATTAATTTAAATATAGGCAAAATGTTTATTTCTTTCCAAATAATAATATCTTTTTTTTTGTTTTTGTTTTTGTTAAGACAACGTCTTTTTTCTTTATTATGCTAGTCTTAAGGCTTTAGGGCCTGGGTGCTGTCCTTGACCCTTTTACTCAAGGTTAGTGCTCTACTAATTGAGCCATAGCTCTACTTTTGGCCTTTTGGTAGTAATTTGGAGATAAGAGGCTGATGGACCTTCCTGCCCAGTCTGGCTTTGAACCATGATCCTCAGATCTCAGCTTCCTGTGTAACTAGGATTACAGTTGTGAAGCTACTGTGTCCAGCTATGGTTAAGACAGCTTCTGCTTTATTCTTCTATATTATTGAAGATAGTATATATATGTATATATATATACATATACATATATATGTATATATAATATTATATATATGAGAAGCTGGGTGCTGCTGCTTCTGCTTCTTCTCCTTCTCCTTCCCCTTTCTTCTTCCCCTTCCCCTTTCTTTTTCTCCTTCTTACATGATGAGAAGCTGGGTGCTACTGCTGCTGCTTCTTCTCCTTCTCCTTCCCCTTTCTTCTTCTCCTTCCCCTTTCTTCTCCTTCTTACATGATGAGAAGCTGGGTGCTACTGCTGCTGCTGCTGCTTCTTTCTTCTTCTTCTTTCTTCTTCTTTCCTCTTCTTCTTCTTCCTCTTCCTCCTCTTCTTCTTTCTTCTTCTTCCTTCTTCTTTCTTCTTCCTTCTTCTTTCTTCTTCTTCTTTCTTCTTCCTCTTCCGCTTCTTCCTCTTCCTCTTCTTCCTCTACTTCCTCTACTTCTTCTTCCTCTTCCTCTTCTCCTTCTTCTGCCTGTCCTGGGGCTTTGAACTCAGGACCTGGGCACTGTCTCTGAGCTTCTTTTGCTCAAGGCTAGCACTCTACCACTTGAGCCACAGCTCTACCTCTGGCCTTTTCTATTTATGTGGTACTGAGGAATCTATCCCAGTGCTTCATGCATGCTAGGTAAGCACTCTACCACTAAGCTACATTCCCAGCCCCTGGATACTTCTTTTTAAGAGACAGCATCTTGATTTTTATTTGGGCTCATCTCGACTGTGATCCACCTATTTACACTTCTTATTGTTGCTGGAATGACCTATGTGCCCCACTGTTCCAGCTATTAGTTGAGATGAGTTCTTACAAACCTATGAGCTGGCTTTGAAATACAGTCTTCCTGATCTTTACTTCTTTAGTAGCTTGGATTACAGGTGTGAGACATCAGCATCTGGACAAGATATATCTGTATATCTACATGTATCTCTCTCTATATATATATTTGATTTACCTAAAATTGCTTTAAAAGCATGTATAGCTATTTTTGTATTCTTTAAAAAGTATTTTTTTTTTTTTTTGGGTCCGGTCATGGGGCCTGGGCACTGTCCCTCAGCTCTTTAGTTCAAGGCTAGCGCTCTACCACTTGAGTCACAGCACCACTTCTGGCTTTTTTGTTTTTGCTTATGTAGTGCTGAGGAATCGAACCCAGGGCCTCAGGCATGCAAGGCAAGTGCTCTACCACTGAGCCACCTTCCCAGCCCCTAAAAAGTATTTTTAAAAGAAGTAATCCTGTTTGATTTTAGTGGAGATATAAGCTTTCTAAAGATTCTGATTTGAGATGGTGTTGTGTATGTTAAGACTATGCTTATTGTAATGTAAGTATTTAAATATGAATGTTTTTGGTGGGGGAGGGTCCGGTCGTGGGGCCTGAACTCTGGACCTGGGCGTTGTCCCTCAGCTCTTTAGCTCAAGGCTAGTGCTCTACCACTTGAGCCATAGCGCCACTTCCGGCTTTTTTTTCTTTTTGGCTTATGTGGTGCTGAGGAATCGAACCCAAGGCCTCAGGCATGCAAGGCAAGCGCTCTACCATTGAGCCACCTTCCCTGCCCAATATGAGTTTTTTTTAATGAATGCCATTAACTGCTTTTTCTGAATTTGTCCAGATGTTTGGATAATGTTTTAAAAATGTGAAAATTGAAATTTAATGAACTTGAAAGTTGTTTTTAGTTTCTCATATTAGGATACTCAAGAGACAAGTTGCTAGAGTAAAAAAAAATTTTTTTCTTTCTTCTTAGGCAGAAAACATAGATGTTCAGAACATTTCAGCTACATTTGGGGATTCATCCTGGGTAGCTACAATTAATAATAATCTGTTGAAGAAATCACATAATACATCAGAATTTGACAAAGATGATGCCAGTTATTTACGCCTGTCACTAGGAGAGTTCTTTGCTGAAAGATCTGAAGCTCTTGGTTGCCTTGGTGCTGGTAATAGTGAGAAAAGAGTAAGTATGGAATTTGCTGGAATTGATGACAATTACTGATATATTAAGATCATTTTTAGTTGCTATAACAAAATATACAAGATATGAAGAAAATATACAGTTATGAAGAAAAGTTTGTTTTTGTTCCTTCACAGTTCAGGATTAGGTGACCACATCTCATCGGTTTCTGCTGAGGGCCTGTTCTGTAATGTCCTCTAATATAGCTACTCTGATTAGAGAAGTAAGTGCAGGTAGTTTAGGCATATGGGTGAGATAGAAAGGGAGTAAGAGAAAGCCAAAGGAGCCAAACTAAGTCTCCTACTACAACAGATCCACTCTTTAGAACTACATTAATCCCTTCAAGTGGCCCATGCCTCATAACCTTCTGAAAGGCTTCACTATCTTTTGATATTGTGAGTATTGGGGATCAGATTTTAGCACTAGTTTTGGTGAGAACAAAACATATTCAAACCATAATTATAGAATTTGTGCCGGGTGCTGGTGGCTCACGCCTGTAATCCTAGCTACTCAGGAGTCTGAGATCTGAGGATCACAGTTCAAAGCCAGCTCAGCAGGAAAGTCCATGAGACTTCTATCTCCAATAAAGCACTAGAAAACCAGAAGTGGCGGTGTTGCTCAAGTGGTAGAGTGCTCGCCTTGAGCTAAAGAGCACAGGGACAGTGCCTGCACCCAGAGTTCAAGCCCCACGACCAACCAAAAAAAAAAAATTTTGTATTTTGAGGGCTGGGAAGGTGGCTCAGTGGTAGAGTGCTTGCCTTGCATGCATGAGGCCCTGGGTTCGATTCCTCAGTACCACATAAGCAGAAAAAGCCAGAAGTGGTGCTGTGGCTCAAGTGGTAGAGTGCTAGCCTTGAGCTGAAGAGCTGAGGGACAGTGCCCAGGCCCAGAGTTCAAGCCCCACGACCAACCAAAAAAAGAATTTGTATTTTGAATGTTTCGATGGTATACCTAGAGCATAGTAATTGTAGAGAGGGAATGGGGCATGATAGCCTAGTACTTAAAAGCTTAAACTTTTATGGTTAGACATGATTCAGGTTCTAAGTCTTAACTAGTTCTATAATTTTGAATCATTTATTTAATTATCTGGGCCTTGTTTTTCCCACTTCTAAAATGGGATGCTGTTTCAGATGATGTTTTAAGAATTAAATGTGATGATGCATGTGAAGTATTTAGCACTAAACATGTTGAAAGAATTTGTTGCTATTGTATTGGTGGGAAAAATTCTAAAAGTCATTTTTTCTCCATCCTAAAAGATGTTTTGAAATTCAGGAGGGTTTTGATTTAATAAAATTTAATAATACATAGGAAAAATTATTCATATAGTGAGTGATAAGTACTTCAAAGAATAAGTGAGAAGATATTTTCACTTTGCAGTTAAGAATGATGTCTGAGGGCTGAGATATAGCTCAATGGCAAAGCAGTTGCCTAACAAGTACAATGTCCTGGGTCTGATTCCCCAGTACCAAAAAAATAAAAGAAAAAATACAGTTTTAAAAAAAAAAAGAATGATGTCTAAGGGATGACATTAAACTGGCATCTATCTACATGGCATAAAATAGGCAGTTGCTCAAAGATCTAGAGAAGCAGTATTCCCAACCAAGGAAGACGATGTATGAGGCCCAGAGTTTAGAATGAGGCCTAGTGCATTGAAGGCAGACGGAGCTAATGTGAGTGGACATGAATTAGAATTGTCTACTGAAGGCACATAACTAATAGGGGGTGCAGGGACTAGAGTAGTTCACTGAAGGCATGTAGAACTAACGTGAGGGGCTATAATAGAGGTAGAGGGCAGATAGAGTGGAATAATATTGTATGATTACTTACAAGGACCTGATTATGAGAGCTCCTTGTAGGAGTTGGGTTGTATCTCAGAAGGTTCCCAGGTTCCTCTACAGTAGTAACAGGATGTTACTATCTTTATGAGGGCAGGGTGGAGAAAGGTAAAGTAGAGGAGAAATAGAAACAGGAATATGCTTAATAGAAGGGAAGAGAGGTGGTGAAAATGGGATTATGATGATCAAAAGTAGAAGTATTCAAGATTTATCCTGAGGATTTGCTGGTAAATTCTATATGGGGAATTAGGGATATTGGACAGGGTATTTCTTTTTTTTTTTTCTTTTTTTGGTCGGTCGTGGGGCTTGAACTCTGGGCCTGGGCGCTGTCCTTTAGCTCTTCAGCTCAAGGCGAGCACTCTACCACTTGAGCTACAGCGCCACTTCCGGTTTTCTGGTGGTTTATTGGAGATAGGAGTCTCATGGTCTCTCCTGCCCGGGCTGGCTTTGAACCGCCATCCTCAGATCTCAGCCTCCTGAGTAGCTAGGATTACAGGGTGAGCCACCAGCGCCCGGCTTAGACAGGGTATTTCTTAAAGTTGAAGTCAAGAAGAATAACTTTGTTTACTGTTACTATGACTAAAAATGGCTAAGATCAACTTGAGAGGAAAAAGGATTTATTTTGGCTCATGATTTCAGCGGTATCAGTCTGGAGGCTTAGGCCTATTGCTTTGGGCAACATTACTGTGACAGCATAGTAGTATGTTGACAACACTGTAGTACGTATGTCATGGTAGGAACACATTGTAAAAGAATCTGTTCAGCATGGGATAGCCAGGAAGCAAGACTTGGGAAGGGTTAACTTCCCACCTGGCTCCATTTCTACCCCAATTCTACCACCTCCTAGTAGTAACATAGATTGGGGACTTAGTTCATGGATCTTTAGATGTTTACTGTGGCAGTGTATAATTTCAAAGTAATAGATGTAGTACTAGAAATCACAGTTAATATAACAAGTTTGGAACTGTAAAATAAAAAATACTTCAGAGGTAGATTAGTTTGAGATTCTGAGGGAATTAACTGAATTCCTACTGTATCCTTTTTTTTCCCCTTCTCTTTTTGGTCAGTACTAGGGCTTGAACTTGGGATTTTGTGCTCTTGCTTGAGACAAGCTAGCTTGCTCATGGCCTATGCTCTACCACCTGAGCCATGCCTCCCCTTTTTGCTGGTTAATTAGAGTCTCACAGCCTTTTTTTTTTTTTTAATTTTTTATTGTAAAGATACTATACAGAGGGTTACAGTTACATGAGTGAGGTAATGAATATACTTCCTCTTGAACATTGTTAGCCCCTCCATTGTTTTCCCCCTACCATCCCCTCCCTCCCTCCCTTCCCCGAAGTTCTTTTTTTTCTTGATTGTGATTAAGTG